AACGGCTGTGCCAACTAAGAAACCAAACAATGAAAGCTCAGCCACATTGACAGTCTATTGTATTTTCAGACGATTTGTAGCCGTTATTTTCTGCTATGAAGATCGGAACTTTTTGCCAAATGACGGAGAGCTTTGCACATTAAAAATTAAACAAGTCCAGTCTCTCATAAGAATCATAGATTTTGCTTCATAAAGTCACATTTTTGACAACAAAATGACAGATCTTCATTTGCAAAGGTCTCAATTTTTTGCAAGCTTCTGCAACAAACAAACAAACAAAAACATTTTCCATCTGCAAATTATGACATTTCACACAACCAGGCAATAAATCTTACTACAGGAAGAGGACTAGTTTCATTCAGATCCAGAGTTTTTGTATGATACCTGTATCATTCAGATCCAGCACTTGTGTATGATACTTGTATCATATTTCTGTTCTATGGGATGTTTCCCAGCTACAGTGAAAGTTTGCCTCTATAAATTTACCAAGGCTGTTCAGATTTAAGGATGCTTCCATTAACCTGTAGCCCTTAGGATCAGCTACAGTAAGGATGAAATCCCAGCCATGCTGAAGTCACTTACAGACTTCCTATTAGGCCTGCTGAAGCCCTATAAGAAGCACAACAATTGAACTAAACAAAGACCATGAAGAGTGAGGAACTGTGTAGTTCCTTACCACTGTTGTTGCTGCTGCCTGTGGTAGTGCCAATAGTATGTTTTCCACAACCCTCAGTCATCAGACTCATTATTGGAGAGAAGGCCTAAAGCTGAGAGCTTTCAAATTGTAAGATCACTCAGAACAGGTTGGACACACTATACAGCTATATAAGCACAGAACATACTAAAGGACTGAAGTATTTTCCATTTCCAATGTCAAAGTTATTATAAAATGGAGTTTCAAATAGAGGCAGTAAAACCAAGAGGCAGACTGCTCTTAAACATCTGTCTGGTATCTCTGTACTCCATACATGTATGCACTAACAAGTAGATTTTCAGACTTCTAAAATAGAATAACCCATCAGTTGCCAGGGAAGTGTGTCATTTTATGCTAGCCAAAAACTTAGTACAAGAGGAAATAATATTTCAAAAATTAATTTAAACCTGAGCACAATTCACAAAATACTCAAATCAATTATAACCATTTGATTTGAACTCCATTACAGCCAATGTGAAGCCAGTGGCCAAAATATCCAAAATATGGTACTCAAATAAATGAATGCAGTGCAGATCTTTGCGTAAAGTGACATGTAACATAGCTATTGAATCTTTCCCACTTCTCCCACACCTGGCTGGAAAAAGCAGTTAAAAGCAAGCTGGAGCACAACCGCTATTTTTAGGGCAGCCTTTAACCATTCCCTGATACATTTTTTTTTTTTCTAAAAGAAGTCTCTTAATTATCAAGTCTGCAACCATTTCAACTGGGAATAAAAAGCAGAGTTTTGTTCAGGGTTAATGGCAGCTAAATCACAACACACCATCTTACCACATTACAGAATTGATTTTAAACATTTACTCTCCCTGTGCCACAGAAACCACTGGGTGTCACAGCCCCAACACCTCAGCCCGACTGAGGGGCAGGGGCTGCCACTCCCCACCCGAACCAGGGCCGGTCTCGGGGATGCTGCCAGGACCATCCCACTCCACCACCCTCACTGAGGCCCTTGAGAGCCCCCAGGGCAAGGCAGGATTTGAAGGGACGAGGCAAGGGCACACACAGGCAGTGAGGGAGCTCAGGGAGGGCATCGCTGGAGCCTGACTGGTGCCGTGGGTGGGGCCCAGGTGGGGCCATGAGGGGTGTTGGGCCTTGCAGCTGAGGGGCTGTGCCCAGCGCAGGGCGTCAGCAAATAACATGTGAGAAACCCCGAAAAAAGTGTCAAAGTCAAGGGCCACGGCTTTGCTCCTCTCACACGTTCTTTCTCCTGACCTGAGGCTGACTCCTGGCCATGTAAAAGGGGTCCGGGCTCCAGCCCGAGGTGCCGCGCCAGAAGCCGCTCTGCCGCCCGGGGGTCCGCGCTCGAGTCCCGCTGCAGGGCAGGGCAGGGCAGGGCAGGGCAGGGCAGGGCAGGGGTGTGTCGGGGTCGATAATCAGCCCTGAGCTCCAGGCGTGTGGGGCTCCAGCTGCCTTCCCTAGAAAGGAGCCGCTCCCCTCCGTGTCTCCGTTAGGAGCGGGCTGCATGGGCTGCTCTGCCCTGCACCAGCCCAGCCAGGCACATTTCCTCCTGTGTAAAACAGAGACAGGGACACAGCCATCGGTTCTGTCCTCAGCAGTCGTGCAGCCTTTACCTCAGCCCGTCCATGTCCGAGTGGGTGGCAGCATCAAGGGGAGGAGAGAGCATTTCTGCTGAAAGGCAAACTGCCAGTTAGTTTTGCTTTAACGTTTCCCCAAATCCAGCTGCTTTCAGTAGAGTTGAAAGATACTCACCAAATTTTTCCTTAAAATGTTCTTTACTTGCTATTTTGAAATAGGGGCTGAAATGTATTGCAATTGGCGTCACCACAGGCACATTTGTAGAAAAACTACAGAAGATACAATCGGGGTGATAAGGAATTAAGGAAAACTAAGAAAGAGATAAAATACAGTGCAGATGGGAAAGTGAGGCTATAATTTTATGTAGACTGTCTCAGTGTCTCTTTTCCACTTCGGCAAATGGTGGAAGTTCAGTTATAGGTGGTTAGAAAAACATCAGGGCAAACAAATATTTAACACCATGTCTTGGAAACACCCCAATTATTATGCAACCATTACAGACAAAAAAAGGGATACCAAAAATTAGTAAAATAAAATACCAATATTCATATTGCAGTGAAAAAAGAAATTTCATTTTGTTTAATTCTGGAATTGTCTGTTGTACCCATCAGTCGGAGAGGGAAAGACACTAAAATCTGTTTTCGGAAATTCAGAAATAGAAAAATGCTTTTTACATCTAAATACAGCTCTTGCATTTGTTGAAAGAAAAGTTACTTTGATATTTGTTGCTAAATAAAATCTTGGATCAAGTAAACTTAATTAAAAAAATTAGTTAAGGCAACAATAAACACAGGAAATATACATGAATAAAGTGTTCTAAAAGTCAGGCAACTCTTTTAAGACTATAAATATCACCTAAGCAAGGCCACTATAATTAGCAAAGGGTGAACAAAAGAAGACATCCAGAAATAGATGGGGAGGGGGGAGGTTGGGAGGGTGAAATGTCTTGGTTAACCTTATTCGAGTGTTCTTTCCATTGCATAGGAAACGGTTCCAGCTAGCTCATGAGTTCTGTTGGTATTAACTGATTTTTAAAAGGACATTTCCATGTTGTCTGTATGCCAAGAAATTCTTTTAGTGGCGTGTTTGCTGAATACAGGAAACATCGCCCTAACTAAGTGACACTGAATGTGACGAAGAATTGTATCTTTATTCTGGTGTTACAGTCAACATCGTCTCTTTGTTTCAGCTGGAAACCTTTTGGTATTTATTGGGGAATACTTACTGCAGTCTCGCAGTTTGTCCTGAGTAATGAGCAAACACAGTGGCTGGTGGTGCTGAGTCATAATCCCTCACCACTCAAGCAGCAGCTTGCTGCATCCCTTGGGCAGCAGCTGATTAGTCTGAGGGATGATCCAGCACTTTAGTGGAGGTAGAGACAGGGCAGTCTAGTCACACACTAATCTACTTCGTCTCTCTTCAAGGTATGGGCAGAAAAGACTAACAATGCTGGGAATCTTCCTTGTCTCCATGCTATAGCCAGAATTCCCTGTGCAGGGAAATAAATGTGTACCTACAACTGCTTACTATCCTAAATAGAGAGATGAACAAGTCAGTCTTTTATATAGTAATTTTCTGTGTAAGTCAGGCTGTGCTTATAGGCCCAGTCTTATACTATCAGAAGAAAGCTTTACTGAAGCCAATGAGAATTTGTCTGAATAAGAAGTGCAAGTGAAGATCTTGAATAGTGTATTTCCATTTTCACTCACAGCATTTGACAGTTTCCTGTTTTCTTCCATAAAGCTGCCTGTGTCAAGCATTTCAGTTTCATTTGCTACGTGTTATTTCTATATGCCCTTTTTATTATCTATTTTCTCTTTTCCTTTCTCTTTCTCAGGAACTATGCTAGTGCCACAGCCACTACATATGCAGCAATTATTTGTGGCTCTGAGCTCCACTGACCACAGAGATCTTCAACAGTCAGTGGTTTCAGTGACAAGCCCTCAAATTCCTTGTTCACCCTTTTCGGAAAAGGTGGAAATATTTGAGAAAAAGGTTCAGAGTGGGTGGGTCGGGCAGACCAGCAGTCACAGCTTGATACTTCTGGAGCTCAGTGAAAATTGCAGTAAAACCACAAAGATATTAAATCCTAAGTGTTAACTTTCCTTCATGTAACAGCAAAAACATGTAGAAAGAATAACAGGTGATAATCATGCAAAGTTTCTGTTTCTGCTCCCATTTGTCTGTGCAACAGTTTTAGGGCAGTTAAAACTGTGGGAGAGAGTAGGGTTGTAGTAGACAGACTGCTTGCTGGGAGGCATGAGACTAAATTAGGTGGTAGTGCAAATCATCTAGCGTGCAAGTGGAAGCCAAAACTAATGTGTAGTTCATACCCAGGTCACCCCAGTACAAAATAGTTTCAGCTTCTTTTTTAAGGACTCCACAGTAACTGATGTGCCTTATATCTACACGTGGAGAAGAGAGCAGTAGATAGAAAGCCAGCTGCTCACAAACAAATACTAACGGAGTATTGTTTGGCTTAGTACACATCATACTCATGAAAAGCAAAATCAGGCAATTTTCTGCGTTTGAGGCTGAGACCTAGAATCTCCTAACACTCTTTTGAATGTTGGCCATATTGCTAAGATTCTACCCAGACTTTCTAGTCTTTGAGCAATCCAAAATTGATCTAAGGAGCACTGCCTTTCTGCTGCAAGACTTTGAAAACAGTTGTCCTTGTTTATAATACAGCAAATAAACAACAAGAATATTAACAACAGCAACAAAAGTAATAACAACTTTAAGTAGAAATAAACACACGGCAATTACTTTACATTGCTTTGGACCCATCATTCACAAGATAGGTTCTCGTTCAGCAAGTGTGGTCAAGGACAATGCTGTCTCCTGACTAGGAATGAACTTTCGGAAAGAGTGTTCCCAGTAGGAAGGTTTAGACCTCAAAGCAAATGTTTACGTGACTAGCTCATTTGGTAACATTGAACAGCATTTATTTTTAATTTGCATGCCTCTCCTTTAAGTAATACCCTTCTCCTCTTGACTTCAGTGGGAGCTCCACATGTTTTGCCTTTGATTCCGCTGCATGCTGACAACTCTAATTAGTGTTAACAGGAGTTTCAGTGGAGTTTCTCGTTCTCCCTCTTTCTCTGTAAAAGAGTTTACAGATTTGGAGTTGGAGCTATATCAAACTGGTACATGGTACCTATCAGGAATGTATCTTCATGTCTTCTCTGTCCCTGACAAAATGGAACTCAAACTTTTTTTTCACGCTGCATAACAATGGTGGCATAACTATAAGAAAAATGACATTGATCATTTTAACGAACTCCCCTCAGTTTTGAAAAGACTGCTTAGTATTGGTTTTGATTTTTAATAGTAAAAATTTCAGCTAGTTAACACAGTCTTTCTCTGTAAGTTGCTATCATAGTAACTTGGTGCAATAAATGAGTTAGAACAGCTCAGTTCTCTAGGGCTAGAACCTGCAGCTCATACTGAACCTCAGCCTGTTCTGCCCTGTAGAAAGTGCTTTGAATTTCAGAGATATTTTGTATAGGGAAGAAATACTGTTCCATTTTGAGATTTTAATCTCAGACTTTCATACACATACGTACAGACAGACACGATGAACAGGAATCCCCTTTCTTCTTCTTCTTCATAAGAACTATTGCGTTTGGCTTTCTGTGCTCACATAACCCTCCTTCCAATATTTCAAAAGACACAGAATTTCCCAGCATGATGATAAAGTTTTCCTGTGTTCCAATAATAAAAGTTGAATGTACCAGTAATTTCCAGTTCCTCTGTGGTCGGGCAGCCTGTGAAGACTAAATCAGAAGTACCCAACCTGCAGTATCAGTGTGGGAGTCGGAAACAGATGTTCACCGGACAATACAATTTGTTGTCACTGTCGATACTATATGGCACTTTTCCCAACAAAAATTGTCTGTAGCTGAAAAGGAATGTAGGGAATGATTCATGCTCTAAATTATTATTTGTTAAATTACTGTTACTGTTAAATGCTCTTTGTTTTGTTTTGTTTAAAATGTCTGAATCAGGGAGGCACAAGCACTCAAAATACAATTAACTGGAGTTGTAGCATCTGTATAGTATGTGAACCAACTAATTTAAGGCTTTTTTCCTCAAGACAAGACATTATGTTAAAACCAAGAGTCAAATGCTCTTCTTTAGAATCAGGGTACCTTAACTTTTTATAAAATATTTGCTCAGTAGCTATTTATACAAAAAGCACATGACAAGAGGTAAATGAGACAAATAATTTTGTGCATATGTGAGTGTGTATCTGTGAAAATTAAAAATTATTATATTCATATAATAGTATTTTTATACATATAATAACATCCTAAAGTAGTTTATGCCTTGGAAATTCTAATATGCCATTTGGGCATTCAAAACTGATCAAACACTCAAATGAGCAAAGTCCTCTATTAGCATATGATAGTAACATATGATGCCTAGCCTTGATTTCCAAATTTCATTAATATTACAAAAGCAGAAGCACTAGATCATACTTACTGTAAAAGGCAATGGATTGGGTTAGGTGCTTTTTAAATTAATATTCATTTTTTCAGGGATACATCAAATATATGGGTAAAAAGAGGATGTATAAAGCCAAATGATATCCAGCCTAAATACAAATTAATATATTCAGTAGAAGTGTCAAAGAGAGCTAAGGATCTGAATGCCAGAAACCTTGGATATAGCACCTATATTTACATGAAAAAGTAACTCTAGGTTTTTCAAAAATGAAGACACTGGGGATTTGAATTGGAGTTCACTGAAACCAGTGACAAAACTCACATGCAGCTGCTGACTGTTGTATCTCTAGCAGGCTTTCCTTAGAGATATTAAAAAGAGGAAAAGGTGTGTTTAATCACATGGCCTGAACAAGAACAAATGATTCTAGCACTGTGAAATCAAACAGTTGTCTTATTTTTACAAATGCATGTGGTAACACTTCACACTAATGTTTTTGTAATACTAATTTTGCATTTACTGTGTTTACAAGTCATCATGTGATGAGACAGAATGAAATAGCTGATGAGGTAACATTTAGCACACATGTAAGCAATGTGCTGAATTTTTGTATGTATGTCTGTATATGTGTATTTTCATATACATTCTTGGGTCAAACTGAGTTTTTCATCAACTAGGTGTGGGCAAGTGCCAAAGTGATTTAGGATTAGAATGGGATTTAGGCTGATCTAGCTACAGTTGTATTTCTCGTTTCATCATCGTGCCAGGAATACTGTGACAGTTGTGGGTTTTCTTTAATTTATGAAATAGACAAAATTAAATGCCCATACCAGACATACTGTTTGGTTACAGGGAGTGAAAGAGAAACACTGGGCTAGGCCTTATTCTTTTGTCTGCACCCAGCAGAGTCTTGAATGTACAAAACAGCTGGGAAACTTCCTATGTAGCACACAGCTTGAAAAATGAACTCAAGATTTTTTTTAAAAAAATCAGTCTGATTAGGCTTATTTCAAGTGACTGTTATTCTAGTTCTGCAGTATATCTCTTTGTAAAATATGAATCAGTGCAGAAGTGTGTTTTCTGGGTGCATTACATCATTTTTAATACTAACTCTACTCCCATTTTTGCCATCGTGATAGTTGAATTCCAGTAAATGTTTTAGACTTCAAAGACTTGTTATTGTAATACCAGAGACAGCACGTGCTCATACAAAGTTTTAGTACTACTTATAATTTCAAAAATTAGTGGATTAAAACAGACTCATTTACAAAATTGATTAATCCACCATTTTCAGTCATGCTGCTTTTTATGTGTTAATTTTTATCTACTGAATGGCATTTTGCTGTCTGTCTTCCTCAGTTTAATTACCTTTTTTGAAAAAGAGAGGCTTCAGAAGGAATCAAATTTTGATGTTCAGGTTACAGGAAAGATTTCCAAAGAGATAAGAGAAAAAGAGATTACTGAAATTAGCAGGAGTGTGTCCCGCCCGCCAGCAAGCGGAGTGAGCAGCATTTGGAGGAGAGGAAACCCTTGGCCACCTTATAGTGTGGCTGTGTACACCAGAGTTAGTTAGAGTGCTCTGAATCTCATCTTTTGATCTCGGGCGATATTTTTCTCTGTTATGTCACAGAGGTCACCTGGCTCATGTGTGACAAACTGCCTGCATAAGTCACAGTGCCAGTGGCAGAGATTTGTAACCATGTCCCTGGTCCATTGCCTTTGAATTATTTCGCAGGCCCTCTGCTTTACATTTACACTCTGTCGGAAGATGAACAGGGGAAGGGAGTAAAATCAAGGGCAGGGTCTCATCCTGAAGGACAAGGGGAAACAGGTGGAAGGTTAATGGCCCTGGAGCGTATCCACAAGCCTCTCAGGCTTGATATATGGGCCTCAGGCCTAAAACGGGCATTGGCTTTCAAAGATATATTATTTCATTTGAGGAGAGACATTCTGGAGTTCCTGCATTTGTCTGCTGATAGATGATCCTCTGTCCACAATTGGTTATGGCGTGTGAGTTTTCCTTGGGCCTGCTCCCGTACATAAAAATTTTGCTGAGCTCTCCAACCTTTCGCATGCCTGTGAGAATGGGACGTGTGCGGGCCTTTTGGCAGGCGGCTGGATTTTTGTTGCTGCTATTTTCGTAGTTCCTTTTGAAGCGCCAGGCAAGTGGGGGATGAAAGGCACTTCTGTTCATTCATACGCGGCTGGGAAGGGGCAGCTTCGCAGGGACAAAAATGGGGCACAAGAAGATGTGAGGGACCCATTATGCAGACGTGTGTCTGCAGCCCAGGAGGAAGTCACTCCTTCTGACCCCATATTTTATACCGGCACACACCCGCAGAAAGATAAAAATGGGGAAATGATTTACATAATTTTTACAATCTCTCTTCTTTTATTATATTACAGTTCTGTTAGGGTTTTGGCATGTACTCCAGCTCTTGGGCAAAAAACTAAGATAGTAACTCCATATCTTAAAATGACGTTTACTGGGGCCCTCTATAGAACATTTACATCAGGCACCATGTGAAAATGAGACATTGCTGCCCACGTCCTAGCAAAGGCCCAGAGGACTCAGAGCCGGTTCTGCTGAGCGCAACAGGACCATGCTGTGGGCAGGGCAAAGCCCTGGCAGGACCCGGCCCTGTTCCGTCTGTTGTGCCCGGCTGGAAGAGGCACTTAGGCAGGTATGGAGGAGCCTGGTGTGACAAAGGCCTCGGTTCACAGAGGGAGCAAGTCCTGGATTCCTATGACGTCTTCTGTCATTGCATAACTGTTGTAAATTGCAGGAAAATCTGTTTAAAAACCAAAGAGTTTAACAAAAAATCCCAAACCCCTTAACATATATTATGGTTTAGCGTAGCCTGCATAACAGATTGCTGTTATCTTGATTTTTACCTGATTGTAGTTACTGTTATAGGATTATGTCTCTAAGACCTATTACTCCATGACAGCATGATTTAAGGAAAGTAGGGTGTATATTTTCACTACATAAACTATATTCATTTACATTTCATAACAAATAACTTTTCAGTTTCAGTAGATAGATTTTGCTTGAAAGAATTCACATTAATTGTGCTTAAATATCTCCTAGTTCTACCTTTTTTATTTTTCCTATGCTGCTAAAAAAGCAAAGTAAATGCAGTATATATGTCGTAAGTTTCAATGCAGTTTGTTTGCTTTGGTTTTGCTACAGTAAAATTTGTACTTACTTAAGTTGTAAAATATTTTTATGGTGTTGTTTGAGTAATTAGGATCTGCTTTTGCTATCACTGAAGTCAATTGTTAAACTCTCAGCACTCCATTGCGAGCAAGATCCGGTGCATTCTGCATTTCAGTCACTTTCTGTGCTGGTGCAATGCAATTACTCTTCATTTAGTGTTCTGCAGAGTTTTAGTTAGACAAGTGAGCTAAAAACTTTAGAGATATTTAGCATCTCCTGCAGCAGTAGGAAGGAAATCTGAGGACTTGTTAAAAGGAAAGATTTAGGAGCAGAAATTCTACAGAGAAAACTGAACAGAGTGTTAGCGGGCAGGAGGATCTGCTTTTCCACTTGTTGCTTTGATAACGGATAAAAGGCTGTCATGAACTGCAGGCTACCAGCTGGGAGCAGATAGAGTAATCCCAGCAGAGGGCTGGCCCCAAACTACACAGGCATTCTTTTAAATCTTCAAGACCATAGGAAAGTTGTTTTTCCCGTACCATTGTCATCATTATTCATGATGATGTTTTCCATCCCAGTTTAAAATGTTGGTCTAGAAAATCTACTTTACAATACTTTTCTGTTTGAAATATAAGCAAATATCACGTAGACAGATATTTCAGCTATTTCACTCAACTACCTAAAGATTCCCAAAATAAATTCCAGAGAACTGGAGCTGCCATCACATACCACTGCTGTAAGAAATCTCTGTCATTTGATTGTAAAGGTATATTGTGCCCAACGTGCAGATAATCATAGGAACAATTTGGAACCTATGTCTTCCTTGTAATCAACACGCTTGATAAATGAAATTTAAAGGATGTGTTACTTGAAAGAGAATGGCAAGAGAATGCCATTTGTTAGAAAATGAGCCCAAGCGACCCCTGCATGGCACCAGTGCAGACAAACACAACAGACAGAGCCCAGCAAACCCCTGCACACTGAGCCATACTGATGTGCATTGTACCACCAAGGTCATGTTACCAACATGCTTAGACACAGGCAGGACTGGGCCAGTAGCATTTGTTAGCATGTGTACAGATGCTTGACAAGCCATGGTGTTTCAACCTGCATTATTGAAGAGAAAGAACAAAAAATACTTGAAGCCCCAATTGTCATTCTATACTGTTCATTTTAATGATATATGTAGGAGTCTAGCTTATTTTGTATTCTTATGTGTAATTACCCATATAAAAAAACACCACTCATTAGTGTTCTGTTTCACTGACTTCATTATACCCCTTAATTAAATCTTGACTAACTGGGGGTCACTGCAGTGTCAGTGGGATTTGTCACTGTTTGTCAGCAGGTGTCTGGTCACATCTATTTCTGGTTTCCCTGTTGCTGTATGCTGTTTAAGAGCACAGTCTTTTCTAAATGCAAAGGACAATGCATTACCTTGCTGTGTTTTGTTCCTTAAAGAAACATCAGTGAATCTGTTCTGTAATACTAGTGCTGTCCCAATCTTTATGTACAGGAGGTGGGGAATGTAGCAAATATAAACCTTTTTGAAACACAACTCATTACTTCGCTTATGCTCCTTTTCAAAGGCTTAGTCTTCCTGCACTCAAAAGACATAGTCTTATTAATTTATCAAATAATCTTATGTTCAACAGGCATAAAACTATCTTGCAAATATCAATCCAGGGATACTTCTCCTTTTCCCTATTTCCTAAACATGAAATGAATTTGAAACATGACCAGCAAGAATGAGCTAAATCAATATTACATGCATAACAAATACTACATGGCATGTGCTGCTATTGCTGTGCTGCTTTGAGTCAGAAGAGCGAAGCTCCCGACTCACTGTTCCCTGAATAATTCAGTTGGAGTTCTGCATGTGCAATAAGTGCATAATAGTGCCATTTCTGTCTATTTCAAATTTGCATGTTTTGGGTTTGTTATTTTAGAAAGTTACTTAGGGGAAATATAATTCCCCTGTTTACGCATATAATAGGCACCTAATGTTCATCTGAATAATTGATTAGTCAAGTCAGGCTTTCATAATTAGCTATCGGCTTTCCAGTGTAAGCCCACAAAACACTTGTCAATCCACAGACATTTTTAATTTTTTAATATATATGTTATCAAAAGAACTGCAGTAGTTACCTAGAAAGCATTTATTATTTATTCTGTCGAGGTTGAGGAAGCATTTAGATTCTAGACATGTATTTTGAATCTATTGTAACTTTCCCAGAAGATTATTTTTTTGTTCTGAAAGTTTTAATAAATGTTCTCTGCCTGTAAGCGCTTGCTTACAGTGGAAATTGGAAAGAGGGTTTTCAAAAAAAAAAATCCATTCCTAGGTTACACAGAAGCTAGTGACATGTTTCACTAACTATAAAATAACGTATATTTCTTATTTTTACTCAGATATCTAACAACAATCTAAATAGATGCCACTAGTAGATATCCTTAATGCAACCACAGACTCTGTGACCAGACAGATGTATCTGTTGATAGCACAAGTGTGACAGTGATATTGCAATTATGAGTAGTGCAGCTATATGGTAAATTGAAGAATTATAAGATAAATTGTATTTATCATGAACTTCATGATGCCACTTGAACTCTACCACTATTCCACTTTTGCTTCTGCATATTCCTGACCAGTTTTCAAGTGGTTGGTTTTAAAGGAAAAGAACATCCTCCTTACTCTAGAAGTGTATTTTGAGCCCAGTGGTATGAAGTTTATAAACCAAAACATTTGATTGTGAAATCCAGAATGATTGTTCAGTTCTTACTAGAAGTATGCTAAAGATTGAACATCCCATAAAACAATAGGACTAGAAATCTTTTGATTTATTTTATTGAGAAACAAACTTTATGTTTCCATTGGGAGGCAGCATTTACTTCTAGCACTTCTTGAGTGTGAGACGCTGAATTTTTAAAAGATAGCATTATTATTCTTTTTAGAAAAGGTATTTTAGTTCTATATATGCTATATTTACTTTCCCTGGCCCCTGTTCAGAAGAATAACCTTCATTTTAGTGAAAATATATAAGCATCAGCTTCCCATCAGTGAGATCAGGACAAGTGCTTTCCTGAATCAAAGTCCTTCTGATGCCTGTGCTGTTTGAAGTGTATTAAGTTCTATGCTTTGTAAGTTGAAAGATACAAATATAATAATCAGAATTCTAAACCCCTTTTAGATCTAAACCACTTCTATTATAGAATAGCTTTTTAGTTTGTTTGGAAAGAACATGATGAAAAAACCACAACATAGTGGTAGGAAAAAAGTATGCCCATTTTGGTGGTATGATTTATTTAATTGTGGTTCACCACTTCAAATTATGTGGTTTCACAGAATTCACAGAAGTCCTTGAGCAATACTAGAGCATCTTGTGTACCACAAGTATTATGTATATACTCTCAGTTTCTACTGGAAGGTAGAAACAATATTAGAATCTTTCTCTTTAAGAAGTTTGGTAACATACCTCCCATTGAAAAATGCAAATATATTTCTAAGGGTGTCATTATAAAGTCCCTCCTCCACAATGTATATATCTTGTACTAATATAAAATTCTGTTATCTATTTTATATCCACTGCAAAATAATCAAAAATCAAATGCTACATTGCAAAGAACACGGTATCTATGTAGGATTCAGAGCCATGTTTGCAACTGCTGTTTTAGTTTTCTCTGTAACATTTGTACAGTGTTAACATTTCAATCAGTGTTATATAAGGATTTTCTATTGGAATATTTTTAAGCATAGTTTTTTCTACCTGGAAAGCATTTATAATTTAGGCTGGTATGCTAATTAGGGATTTGAGCTGTGTGAGCATGGAAACGTCTGCATTCTCACTATTAACGTGCAAAGTTCTCAGCGGTTCCCGAGTCTGTTACCCC